TTTCTCTGTTGTTTATTCTGGTCAGGTAGCTGGGTATAGTAAAAGAGCATTTTCTAAATTCTAGTATCTTTCTTTTTCTGTTCATGTCATTTTATGGAAATGATTATTTTAATGTCATTGTAGAAAGAATTTAAACACAATCATATTTAATAATGCAGTATATCTAAAATTGGATATCCCCTCTCCTCTTTTTCCAGAATTATTGAACCGTTGGATTTTAGCAGTGGGCTGGGAGGGAGGTGCCATATGTGGTAAGGAGTACAATTCCCAGCCTTTCTTTCCACTAGGGATGGGATGCAACTATATGGTGTAAGCAGAAGTAACTATATGTAACTATACGATGAGGCAGCATCCTAGAACTTTCTGTAAAAGACAAATAGCAGGCACTTTTTGTCATTTCCTCTTTCCTTCTGCTCAGAATGGGATGTGACAACTGGGTTTGTAGCTGATATTTTGGACCTTGAGCTCAAACACATGGTGGGAAAGGCACCTCTAAAGAACCCGACTGAGTCTCTGAGCAAAGCCACTAGGTACACACTGGCCTGCCTTACTCCAGGATTTTTTTTTAAAATACGGTATAGACTCTAAACTCATCTTGTATAAATCTCTGTTAATTGTCTACCTAACTTAGAGCAAAGCCTAATCCTCACCGTTATATCTACCCCCACCCACCAAGTATGAGTTTAAGTGCTATATTTTCGTTCACCAGATTCATGTGGATTATCTACTGAATGAATTGCTGGAGTTCAGACTTGAATTATTCATGAAGTCTTCCAGTGGTACTTCCTGCGTATTTTACTGCTTCTCCAATAATATTCTGTGCGCCTCTGCCAGGCTGGCTCAGAAGACTCTCCATGGGAAGAAATTAAAAGTAAAGATTAGTCAGTTCTACCATTCTTTTTTTTTTTAAGATTTTATTTATTTTTCAACAGAGGGAGAAAGAAAGGGAGGGAAACATCAATGTGTGATTGCCTCTTACATGCCCCCCCCACTGTGGACCTGGCCTGTAATCTAGGCATGTGCCCTGACTGGGAATTGAACTGGCGACCCTTTGGTTCCCAGCTTGTGCTCAATGCACTGAGCTACACCAGCCAGGGCTACAGTTTTCTTTGTAGACTTTGAAGTCACAACTTTTATCAGAATATGTCTGGGGTTTCTTTTCTCATCAATTAGACCTTTAATTTGGTAAGTCCTCTCAATTAGTAGATTTATGCCTTTCTGCAGCTCAGGAATAGTTCCTTTTAGTACTTATTTTTAAAAAGTAGACAGAAAAAGGAAAAGTGTTTAACATCTTGAAACTTGACTACTGTAGTTTCAATATGCTGAGTGAAAAATAAAAAAAAATCCCTATAACAAATCTCTGCTACTTACTAAATAATGTACAGTGTTTCTCAGGTAGGAACTTGTGTGTTTAAGTTTTCCAGTGAATTAGTCACTTTTTCATAGAATACTGTTTTTAACTGAAAAGAATGATTGTTATAAAAGCTATAATTATTCAGACTCGGGTATATGGCAAACATTTTTTCAGAAATGAATGAAGTGAAACTTCCATGCCCCCTAAAACACCTTAGCTGTATTTGTCACTAAGGATAAAATTCACATTTTCAGAGAATTGGCAGAATTTTGGAAAATCTACCAACATAAGCTTCCCAACACTTAAACGCAGCTCTGGAGAAGACTGATGATGAGACTAATAAACATGATTTGTTTATATAACAGAATATGTCAACATTTGAAAGATATGCATAATTCAGTGAATTTATATTTTCCCAATGACTAATGCATGCTGCAATGCAATCATGTAAGAATTTAAAAAATCCATACAAAGCACAGGATGGAACAATGAATTTGAATATAACAGAGTACCAAAAGGTCACTGATTTGGTTATAGATTCTACTATTCATGCAAATGTTAAAGCTACCACGTATAGAATTTTAGTGTGATATTAAAGAGGATTATTCACAATTACCTGAAACAGCTATTGAAATATTTTTCCCTTAACAGCTAAATATCCATGTGAGGTCAGATTCTCTTCAACTATTTTAAACAAGGAAACATATTGCAACAGGTTGCATATAAAAGTTGATTTCATTAATCAGCTGGATCTTTTCCACTAGACTAGGTGTTAATGAGACTGGCAGAACTATAAAACAATTCCATTCTTTGTTTTGGAAAATACAGTTTTTTTCTGGTTAAAAATATTTCTTATATTAACATGCTACTAGTTTATTAATATAATTTAAAGTGTGTTAAAATACAATTTTGTGAGATCTCAGCTTTAATTTATAATACAGTTATGGGTTGATATAATTCAAATAAACACAAGCTATTTGGAGTCCTTAATAATTTTTGAGTGTAAAGTTGTTTTAAGACCAAAAAATTAACTGCTAGTCTGTGTCGTAGTCTCTTCTCTCTCACTTTTTTCTTCCTGCTCACTTGCTCCCTCCTGTCTGTCTGTCTGTCTGTCACACACAAACACACACACACACACACACACACAAGTGCACATGGACTCTTGGTCTCTCCTCTATTCCAGAACAATTTCTAGTATTGTATCAGTATTATATATTAATCATTGTATCTTAATATCATATTTTAATATCTGCAACTGCTAGATTGTTTTTCTAACTCTTTTTATACTAAACTCACTTCTTACTTTTTTGAAATAGCTTACTTTTTACTTTCTGAAATGTTTATTTTTTAAATAAATTTTGGTTATTATAGCATGATAGTCAAAGGGAAGTTGGTATCTTAAACTGGAATTGTGTTTTGTTTATATCTTAACATATTTATTGTCTTAGAGAGAGTTAGCGTATCTCTATACAAGAATAAGCATGTGTAATTAGTTGAACTCTTCCTTATTTGTTTACCTGTAATGAAAATGGAACTCTGGATTTCCCCAGGGTCCTAGTTACACCCTGTCCTTTTATGAACAATTTAGTAATCAACTTATAAACTGCTTGTAGTCGGGAACCATGGAGTTCTACTTCTGTGTATATTCCATGCACAGAGTAGGTGTTGAATAAATATTTGAGATATAATTTTGTGAGTTATTGAATTTTTATCATCTTTAATATTTCCATTTCAATCACAACTAAAGACAATTATGATTATATTCTTACTGATATTTTAATGATTTGTAGAAAGTTTTAACATACTTTTAATGTCATTAGATCATAAACTTTAACGATGTATGAAAATAGCATAGATAATGGCAGTATTGTAGGATTTTCATTTTGAAGACTCAGTTTTTAGTGGCATTTTTTTCATGATTCTTCATGTGTGTTTGACCAGAGGATTTCTATCAGCTGTGTCCCAACCTGTAAATAAAAACAAGCAAGTCTGTACTATACAGCTGGGACAAGGAGAGAAAAGCAAATTATTTTACTTCTTATTTTGTATCATCCTATGGTACCATCATGGGACTTTTGTTCAGGTTTTATAAACTAAAATAACACAAAATTTCAGTTGAATGTCAGTGTTCATTACTAGCAAAAACTAAGTCTGTCATACACAGCTGTGTTTAAAAGAATAGTATTGTTTATGATGGAATGTTTTAGATATTCAAAGTGTTTTGGCAGTGTGATAGAACTGTTCTCTTTGGAAAAGTTTGCACATTTTTGGAAATAATTATTGATGTAAAGAGAATTCTAATTTTCAAAACTGACAAGTTATTTGGGGGCATACTAAAAAAAGTCATAAAAAAGCACTTTTAACAACCAGGTATATAAAGTTACATATAATCTCAATAAGGTATTATAGTAATATTTTTCATTTTATTTTAGTTTACATTTTATTTTTTAATTACATTTTATTGATTATGCCATTACATTTGTCCCAATTTCTCCCCCCTTTCCCCCTCCCCCAGCTCCCCCCACTCCCTCAGGCAGTCCCCACACCCTTGTTCACGTCCATGGGTCATGAGTGTAAGTTCTTTGGCTACACCATTTCATATACTGTACTTTACATCCCCATGGCTGTTCTGTAACTACCTGTTTGTACTTCTTAATCCCCTCACCTCCTCACCCAGTCCCCTATACCCTCCTGCCATCTGGCAACCATCAATATTCTTAAATTACCCAAATCAAACAGGCAATTTAAAATTCAATAATGAATCATTTCCAGAAAGAAATTGAGAGCCTACCTGTAGTGCCTATACTAATAAATAAAAAGTACATTACGGGGTTTGGAAAATATAAAAAACAATTAAGTGCCCAACAAAAATGGAACCTAATTCACATTTCCAACATTCTCTAGTAAATCGCCCCTTATTCTCAGGTGTAAGTTCTAAGAACCCCAGTGGATGTCTGAAACTGAGGATAGTAATGAACCTTATATACAGGTATACTATTTTTTTCCTATACACAAATTCCTTAATTTATAAATTAGGCAAAGTAAGAGATTAGCAACAGTCATAATAAAATAGAACAATTATAAAAATATACTGCAATAAAAGTTATGTGAATGGGCTTGGGGTCATTATTAAATAAAATGAGGGTTGCTTAAGTGCAAGCACTATGATATCATAATAGTAGACATGATAACTGGGCTGCTGAGTGATGGAGGAATGGCTCACATCCTGGCAAGATGGAGCAGGATGGTGTAAGATTTCATCACGTAAATCAGAACAGCAGTGTGCAATTTAAAACTTATGAATTGTTTATGTCTGAAACTTTCCATTTAATATTTCAGACTGTGGCTGACCACAGGTAACTGAAATGGCAGAAAGTGAAACTGCAAATAAAAGGGGAGTGGACTAGACTTATTTTTAACTTACTTTATATTATATTTATTTGGCCTCCATACTGATAGAATGATGACATTGCATTTAGACATTTATTTTTTAATTGTGTATATAACTTTAAAATTTTAATCAGTTACTTGCCAGGAATGGCATTGTGGTAGTTGTAAAAACAAACTTTTAAAATGATCTGATTTTTAAGAAATTTTTTGTGAGATAGCCAACCTAAAGTAACAATCTTTGTTGATGCTTGCTCAGATCAGGTGGACCAAAACAGCAGGAAGTGCCTCTGACAGATTCCAAGACTCAAGTGTCTTCAATGAGACTTTGAGGATTACAAATATTCAGCGACACCAAGGAGGCCGGTATTACTGTAAAGCAGAGAATGGTTTGGGGTCCCCAGCGATAAAGTCGATCAGAGTGGATGTGTACTGTAAGTAAATTTCCCATAATACTGTGATTAAATCTACTATGAATTTCCTTTGTTCTACAACTTGAAATCTAGTTTTTGTTGTTATATCTTTGTAAAAACCTGTGGTTATTGTAAAAAAATAGAATTTGGCCTTGCTAGTGTGGCTCAGTTGGTTGGAGCTTCACCTCATAGCTGAAGAGTTACAGGTTTGATTCCTGATCAGGGCACATACCTAGGTTTCATTTCCGATCCCTGGTCCAGGTACGTAGGGTTCCCAAGTCCAGGTATACATGGGAAGCAACTGATCAATGTTTCTCTCTCTCCCTTCCTTTTTCTCTAAAAGTAATGATAAAAATGTCCTCAGGTGAGAATAAAAAAAGAATAAAAAGAATTTTCCAATTGAGAATTAGAAGTATATAAGATAATGATAGCTCATTTAATATATTTTCTGGAAAAAATCTCCATTAAAATTTTTCATAATATTTATGATAAAATAATTCATATTCTTTAAGAACATTTAAGAACCAGATGAATAAAACAGTATATATTACTGAAAATTTCACCAATTACTTAGTTTTGAATGTGTACACTCCTTATCTTTACATGTAAGTATATAAGTCCATATTTATTTATATTTGTTTAAAGGATCATACTCTACGTACTATTACTTGCTTTGTTAATTTCACCGATGTCATTTTAGTTATTCTTATTTTATTATAGAGTCTTATCATATTTGTAGAGCAATTTATTACTGAAAGACCAAAATGTCTATGTAGAGTCTATTATTGATTTATATCTCTTGAAAATAATCAGTACCTTGAAAAATGGTATGTCATGTGAAAAGTGTTTGTTAATTTATTTTTGTTCTTAGTCTTATTTTTCCACTTTTTGCTTTTGGCAAATATACTTAAAACCCTCTTGGTCTCTTTATTTTCTCCCCCACTGAAACAAATTAAAGACCTACAATTATTTTGATTTTTTTGAACAGATTTATTCGTCATTCCATTGCCTCTTTACAAGAACTTTTATTTATTAACTCCCTTAGTATTAGGATAAAAGGATTGTTTTTCTCATCTTAAAGTAATTCAGGCATAAGTAATAAGAAAAGAAGTTCTGGTTTTCTACCTAAATTTCATTCTCTCCTCTTATCTTTTGATGCAGGACAAGTGTTGCGTAGTTAGGATAGTGATTCAAACTACACAAGATTTATTTGTCAGATCTTACCCTGAATTTCATGTAGTCGGGTGACTGAGAAGTGGGTGACAGGAATGCATTGGTGATTCACCTTTTACAATAAGGATGTAAGAAATTCCCCTTTCTACCCCCTCAGACTTTCCTTGGCATCCCTCGGACACCTGCATCCCTTCCACGCTGCTCTCTTCCTGCTCCTTCCAGCACACATGTTGGCCTTACACACACCCTTCTCAGCCTCAGTACAGCAACTTGTCCCCTTCTCCTGATCAAATGTTTTTGGCTACATATACTTTTCTCAAAACAAATTGAGTATTTTTGTTCACATATAATTGTAAATTTAAATTAAAATGAGTTAAGTATTTCTATAATATAATTTCTTAGGGTATGCCCCTCTGTGTTTTTTTTTGTTTGTTTATTATAATTTTGGTAATGTATCTTTAAAATGCACAACTTTAATACCTTAAATACAATTCTAAAATTTAAAAAAGTTCTGAAAAATAAATAAGTGCATTTTGTTTTGCTTTGTTGGGTTTTATTGGTAAGTCTTTTAAAGCAAAACCTGATGTGAAATAGTTTGGGGGCAACATCTGACCTGAACTAACTGTAACAGAAAAAAACAGAAGAGACTCTATACTCTTTTTTTTATTTTTATTTAATCTTTATTGTATTTTTCCATTACCCTTAGACCCCCTCCCACAACACTCACCACACTGTTGTCCATATCCATGAGTCCTTTTTCCTTTTTGCTCTTTATTTACCCTACTTGTATGAATAATCAGATGTTTTACTCAAGAAAAAGAAATGTGTTTGATTACACAGTATCCTTAGAGATCCTGCTGGGTGCATCATATGAAACGTGATTAATGTATTATATTTCTTATATCTGAAATATTCTGAAAAACACTCCCTGAAGGTTTATGAATGAGAGATTGTGACTTGCATTGCCACAAGAGGTTTAATAATAATAATTTTAAATATATATGTTTGGTCAAACAACAAATATAAAGCAGGAACTGACATTTTTAAGGACTCTTAAAAACATTCTTCTCTTCCTCTCTTACTACAAGAGCCTTTTCAGTACTGTTCTGCATTGTGCCCACCCTTTTCTATCTGTTCGTCTCTCTTGCTGTCCAGACTCAGTAGTGCCTCAGTCACTAATTCCCTATCCCTGATTCAGATGTTGGCACATTTGGAGGTATCCCAGAGTCTTCTTATATTCTCCTAGTGTTTTTTTTTAATTCTTATTCCTTTATTCTGTTCTGGTTACATTTTTATTTCTTCCTTATGTTCCAAATCATTGATTTGAACCCTGGCTTTTGTTTCACTGTTGGTTCCCTATGGATTTTTCTTTATTTCACTTAGTGTATCCTTCATTTCTTCCCTTATGTGTTTGCTATACTTAATGAATTCTCTGATCATCTTTATCAGCAGTGTTTTGAACTCTGCATCTGACAGGTTGACTATCTCCATTTTACTTAGTTCTTATTCTGGAGTTTTGATCTGTTCTTTTATTTGGGCTGTATTTCTTTATCTCCTCAATTTGTTAGCCTTCCAGTGCTTCTTTCTGTGTATTAGGTTCAGCTGCTTTGACTCCCTGTCTTGGCACACTTGTTACATTGTAAGGGGCAGAGCCTTAGGGATTCACCAGGATGGAGCAACCCACTTTTCTGCTTTGTGGTGCTGTGTGTTGAGGAGGCGTTGGAGAGGGAAGAATGCCACTTGCTCATTTCTTGGCCCATTTCTAGTCACTTCCCCCACTTCATGTATTCATCTGGCACCCTTCTAGCTAGTGTCCTGGTGCTGAATTTCAGAATGGCAGGTTTGCATATATTCTAGGACTGTGTGGTTCCTTTAAATGGACTCTCTGGAGAGACAGGCAGTTTCTTCCATTGCCCCAATCCCCATTGGTTTCTATAGCCAGAAGTTATGAGGCATTATCTCCCAGTGATGGAACCCTGGGGTACCCAGTCTGACCTGGGTCTGGGATGGTTGGCTCCCCAGTAGTCCCTTCAGTTTTTACCCACCACTCATGAATATGAGACTGCCCTTTCTGCCAGCAGCCACCACCACTGCCTTGCCACAACTACACTGTGGCCTCCCCACCCCAGCTCCCCAGTTCTTCCCCTCCTACCCATCTGGATGAATATGTTTTCTTTAAATTCTTGGTTGTTGGACTTCCACGTAGTCCATTCTTCTGGCAGCTTTAGTTGTTTTTAGTTTTGAAGTTGTGATCCTTCTTATGGTTGTGCAAGGTGATAAAACATTTCTACCTATGCCTCTATCTGGGCCAGAAGTTCACATCTTCACAATAAGCTCCTTTAAAACTAATTATTAGACATGAGAATATCAGAAGATAACCAGACATTTGAAGCGATCTTCTGAGGAAAAACAAAGAGAGAGAGAGACACCAAGGCAAGTAAATGGGAAAAGAATTTGGAAACAAGGAAAATATGGGGGGCTAAAATATAAAACAGCATAAAATGTATCTATTGATATTTTAAATTAGTGTTCTTAGAAAAAAATGAGAAAAAAATTACATTTATGTAACAAGAAGAACAAAGTGAAAACCAAGGAATTTTAAGAGAATATCAAAGAACTCTTCTAATATTAAAAATGATAACATAAAAATTAATAGAAGGAAGATGAATTTGAAAAAAATCTTACAAAGAGTAAAAGAAATTTAACAATAAAAGAATTGGAATAGGAGAGAAGAGATGTGAATAAATATTTCAAACAGAGAAAATAGAGATGAAGAAATTGTTTTAAAAAATTAAGATGATTTCTCATCATAATTGAGCATGTATTTTTAATTCAAAAGGCCCACTGAGTGCTTAGCATGATGAGTAACCATGATTCACATCAAAACACACCAATGTTCCATTTAAAACAATAAGAACAAGAAGAAGATCTTAAAAGTTTTCGAAGAGTTTAAATTTTTTTGTAAAGTGGTTACATAATAAATAATTGAAATAAAAATTCTTTATTGGCACAATTTTTATTGGCACAATTCTTCCCAATAGAAATCAGGGAGCTAGAAGACAATCAAGTAAATTATAGGTTATTTTTACACCTATAAGATTTATATTTTCTACAACATTCCCTTTATCAGGATAGTACTTTTATATGTGTTCCACCAAATGTAGGATTAAATCAAGAAAGTGGAAGCAAAAAAAATTTTTTTTAAAGGAGGTAATGTTATAGGAAGATGTAGAATGGAATCCCAGGACTATAAGAAAGCAACACACCATGATGATAGTTATGCATTGGACCTCAAAAGCAACCAAGACAGGCTGAAGCTGGAAGAAAAAGTGTTTGTGCAGAATGTCTTCAGAAGAAAGATGCCACTGGTGGGTTATGTGAGATTTTAAGGAGGAATTTTACATTCCTCATTAAAGCTTAAGAATGTGGTTATACAGTCACATATAAAAATGAGGGTAAGTGCTGGCTTTATTAACAGAAGACAAAGAAAAAGTTGTATGAAATGAAATGTAATCTAAATATACCACAAGGTTTAACTATGAAGGATATTTACATAGCCCATAATAACAAGGATACTTAAGTTATCAAAAGAAGATAAAAACTATCAACAATAAAATGGCACTAAGTACCTATCTATCAACAATTGAGTGTAAAAAACAAACTAAGCAACCAAGAAGAACAGAAACAGAATCATGGATACTGAGAATGTTTTTGATGGTTGCCAGATGGGAGTGGGTTGTGGGGGAATGAGTGAAGAGGTGAGGGGATTAAGAAGTACAAATAGATAGTTACAGAATAGCCATGGAGTTATAAAGTACAGTAGTGGAGATGAAGTAGCCACAGAATCT